ATCAGTAAAACATTACATATATATATATATATATATATATATATATATATATATATATATATATATATATACTGATACACCACCATATATTTTAGCCCTCTCACTCTATTTGTAATCTCTTTCATAATCCCTGTAAACACTGTAAATTATAGTGAATTGTTTCTCGGCTTCCTCCGCCCGTGGTTTTTTCCCGATTTGGGTTTCCACGTAAATTCCTGTGTCTCTATTCTATTTATTTTATTCGTATTTCGTTGTGATTATTACGCTTTGATAATTTTTGATCCCATTCCGCATTGAGCTAATATTATTTAAGTCTATTCGGATCCTTCGTATTTCACAACATAAAGCATTGTTGAAATTATCATAATTCATAAGTGCAACGCAAAATAGAGCTTAGAATAATCGCCACGTTATAACAACGTCCAAGAACTACTAGACAAGTTCATAAGTACCTACGGGGCCGGTCCATTGATTTTTAATGCCCATGGCAAAGTAATAAAATAATACCCCTATGTTTATACAAAACAAATACGATATAAAAACACACATACACACATATAACTACAAATATATATATATATATATATATATATATATAATATATATTATATATATAAATCATAAAAAAAACGTATTCAACAACATATATTTAGTTTTCAAGCAAAATTTTCTTCTTCAAATGTGATAATGCCTTTTCTTAGAACATTATACGATGCTTCAGAAGCCATTTGTCACATTTCCTTGTTTCATGCACTTGCTTTGTTCCAAAGAAATTGGATTGCAAATTGTCTTCTGTTCTCAATTTTTATTCCTTCTCTTGTCACAGCCAGCTCATTATCTGTAATCTCTGGTATTTCACTCAGATCCTACTAACTAAAATTCAATGAAAAGATTCCACCATTTTAATACACTTTTAACTGTAAAAAAAATAAATAAAAGTGAGTAAAGATATTGATGATATAAGATTAAAATAACAAATGAGTTTTTTCAATCTCAGGAAAACTAAAATACACTAAAAACACAAAGCGGAAATCTAAATAAGAATCTTTCCTAATTTACCCCTCCTATTTCTAAACTAGAAAAAAACAAACTAAAGTCAATGCTATTGAGTCATTGAGATCATACAATGTTATCAATATCTTTCCTATTTTACTCCTATTGTTTCAAAACCAAAAAAAATTACTAAAGTTTGTGTTTTTTCAGTTTCAATATGTAAAGTGATATGGAAAATGAATCGTAGAATCATAAATATAGATCAATTAAAAAAAAAAACTATGTCTGATAGCAACAAATAACAATGGAAAATTGTATACTACTACCCCTAGTTGATGCCTCAAAATATTCAAAATAATCAAAAGTTCAAAATTCAATAGAAAAGTATACCTCCTTAATAACATAAACAAACCATAAAAACTCAGATTGAAACTCTTGAAATTCATACATAAAACCATAGAACTTATACCTGAAGCATACCACAAAAATCATGCCTACAGCAACTCCTAATTTTGAACTAAAAAAATTAAACACATATTCCAACTCTTACAGTCTTACTCCTGAATCAAACCCCAAGAAATTAAAAATTAAACATCCTGAACCAAACTACTATAATCAAACAAACAAATATGATATCAAAGATGCATATTTCAAACAAAACTAATATATTCCGAACAAATTGGGAATCAGAAATAGAAGAATAGAACTGATAATTACCTCTTTAGCTGATGGCTTTCAAGTTTGAACCGATGAACGCCAAGTATACAACTTCAACGATCGAACTCCAACAGAAATAGTGATAAAATACTAAAATAGGAGAATTTATAATTAGGAATAAGAAAAATAAGAAATACAAAGAACGACAAAGTTTGTTCAAACCCCAACTCATAAAATATCGCCAAATCACTAATAAGATATAGGAGAAAGAGAAATCAAAAAGTAGAAATTAGATTTAGAGAAGAAGTCGACTCCTCGATCTTCAACAAAGTTCATTTTTCTAGGCGTCGATCGACAATCAGCTAATCAAAAATGTCGATTACATCTCCAACGTCGATTCGATTGCACGCTTTTTACCTTGCCTCCAGCCTAGCGTCGAACAGAAATCAAAAGTTGGGCTAAATCTTTTGGACCAAACTGCTATATATATCGTTAACACATGACTAAATGATGCCCCCTCAATGCCCTGGGGCCTCGGCCCATCTCGCCCATGTATCGGGCCGGCCCTGAGTACCTACATATATATGATTGGAAAAACAAATTAAACGGTTGGCTAGTACATTTCAATCTATTTCTCTCTAACCATCTATAGTTCTTCAAGGTGCATGTTTATTATGCATGCATGCATGGCATAGATTAATATCTAAAGATTGGTTTTTGTACTTTGCATTTCGACTGACAACTAAAACTGCCATATATATGATTTGCAAGTGGAGGGATTAGGAGTGAAGGAGTATCTGCCAGCCTATCTTGACCTTTCCTACAAGATGATGATCTTCTGACGGGTGTAAGTTTTGCTTCTGGTGGCAGCGGGTATGATCCAGTAACACCAAGATTTTCGGTATGCATGCATGCATGCACATCTTGCTTTTAATTCATCTATCTACTATGTGTTCAATTTATTTAATTAATTTGTGATTAATTAATTAATATTTGATCACTTGTTGATCAATTAGTCCGCTATACCACTATCGGATCAATTGAATTTGTTCAAACAATATATTGGAAAGCTTGAGACAAAAGTCGGCGAAGAAGCTGCGATGGATATAATAACCAACAGTGTAGTTCTGGTGGTGGCAAGTACAAACGATCTCATAATAACCTTTCCTTTAAGAGGCATACTCGCAGATGCTACTGAATATGACACCATGTTGACAAACCTGACCTTGAGTTTTGTGAAGGTATATATTAATACTTCTATATTCTTTTTTGTTACTGGTACAGTAATTTCATCATATGAAGCTTTCAACGTACATATAAGTTTCAATGAATTTTGAGAAGTTCCATGCGTTGAGAAAAGACATGGACTTCTATATATAAAATATATATCAACGTGAAAGAAAGAAAGAATTCACTACAAGGAACGATGCCTATACAGACGACATTTTCAACACCTATGCCAACGACTTGTCGTCGGAAAAACCTATACCGACGACATGTTGCCTGTACAAAGTCGTCGGAATAGCTCCGTCGGTAAAAGTGAAAAATGTCGTCGGGATAGATGTCGTCGGTACAGAGAAACCAATGCCGACGACTTGTCGTCTACAAAGCGTCGTCGGGATTGATTTTCGAAGAAAAAAAATAAAGTTTTATTATATACCTATTCCGACGACAAATCGTCGGTATAGGTGAGCGGAAAAAAATAAGAAAAAAAAATACTAACCTGTTCTGTGGTATGTGTTTGTGGGATTCCGGTGGTCGGCTTCTACTATGGTCCTCTGGTGAAGGCTGGTGGACACTAGAAAAACACCATTTCAGAAAAAAAAAAATTAGAAATCAAATATGCTACCTGTTATGTGGGTTGCGGTGACCGGAAGGAGAAGGTGGGTCGTCACAGGTGGTCATCTGATCACTACTTCACCGGAAAATAACCAAATCAACTAAATCAGTGAAAAAAAAACTTTGAAATCAAAAAATTAGAAAGCTTACTGGTTTTGTGAAGTCCGGAAGATGTACACCAGAATTATTTCACCGGAGAAGGGGAGTGGCCACTGTGAAGGCTGTGAATGTGAAAGCCAACCGGACAAAAAACCCCAAAATCGAAGTCAATAACTTAAACAATCACTAACAAAGAAGAAAAGAACGAGTAAGAAACGTACAAGCTCGTCGCCGGTGAAGGTGAAGGACCAGAAGCGTGATTCTTCGTTGGGAGGTGGAGGAACAAAGGAAACAGTCTGCAATGACTACTGGGTTCTATTAGGCTACAACCCTATACCGACGACATGTCGTCGGCATAGAACTGTCACACGGATCGCCATTTTTTATCCCAACGACATGTCGTCGGCATAGAGTTGTCACACGGATCGCCATTTTTTATCCCAACGACATGTCGTCGGGATAGCTCTCCACGAAACGGACGTCTTTAGTAATTCTTGCACCAAGGAAAATAAATAAATCAAAATCATAAAATCCGTAACCTATAGAGACGACATGTCGTCTGCATAGGTTTTCAGTATACCGCCAAAATGCTTTTCGTTCCCGCCGCACCTGTCGAGACGACATGTCGTCGGGATAGAGTCTCAGGTCAATGCTATTTGGTCAATGTAAACAGAACACTATACCGACGACATGTCGTCGGCACAACGAGATTTTTACCGACGACAGGTGTCGTCGGAATAGAGGCATATTCTTGTAGTGATTTCATTGAATGAGATTAATACTAATTATAAGTGTTTTTCGATTTCCTTGAAGGAACTATACAAACTGGGAGCACGAAGGATAGCTGTGTTTAGCGCACCACCAGTCGGCTGTTTTCCTGCTGAGAGAACATTATTTGGCGGCATCCTTAGAATGTGCGTTGAGAATTTAAATGAAGCTGCACGTACGTTTGTATAACAACATGCTAAACAACTACTCCCAATTCTTGAAAGTAATCTTCCTCAGTCAAGGGTTGCCTTTGTTGATTTCTACAGTCCTCTAATAGACATCATCAATAACCCTCAGAAATACGGTATATATCAATTACATATTTTTCTTTAACGTTCCGCAAGAAAAGAATCCATTCAAAAGCACTAGTTGTCAGATTTTCAAATTTGTTGTTATATATGCATTGGATGAAGTTCTCTATCCAATTCATATATATTTCATGTAGTACATAGCATTATATATGCATTAAATACATGGAGTTTTCCATCAAAAAATTAATATGCATTCAAAGATTTGTCTATATATATGTTTCCCCACATAACTTCAACGAAAATATTTTCCACCTATTTTGCAATATTGGACTAATTTTGCACAATCGTATTTCCATAAGGTTTTGCTTATTAATCTATTCATCATTTCCCTAGGTTTGGAAAATACAAATAGTGGTTGCTGTGGAACTGGATTGGTAGAGGTGGTTTACTTATGCAACAAATTCGGTCGAACATGCCCAGATGACTCTAAATTCCTCTTTTGGGATAGTATCCACCTATCAGAGATCGGATGCAACATCTTTGCTAATGAGAGTCTACCAGGTTTGGTGGATAGTTTGCTCTAGAATAATCAAGGTTCCACGGGTGAGAGAAATTGCTAGTGTGAAGATAATGCACCATGTTTTATAATTAAATAAAGCAATTCATCTATATTATCATCTGAATCCGAATAATGTAAAAGCTACGTTGTTGGCTAGCCAATCTATTTATGTTTGCATTTTGGTCTATGTTTTGTGGGCTCTTGTGACTCTTTGGAAATCTTGATACTACTCCATATATTATTCTAATCTAGGGCAGGTCTTTAACAATGTTTACCAGGTGTTTGTCAATAAGCGATATTTTTCACTTCTTTATGCGACACATTCCCAATTTTTAGCAACGTGGTCAAGCTGTCCAAGAATTTTTTTTGCATTTATTTGACTGTTTTCGTCATTTTTTGGCACAAATATAATTATTCAAAGAAACATTAAAAGTAGAACCTTTTTCTAGTAAAATTGGAATATTTGTGATGAAATAATAGCCGATTAAAGTGATACAAAATGGACTCATCAGTATGCGTGTAATATTTTTGATGGGTTGACGACGTCGCTCAATCGTATATGAAGATCCAAATGGAAGAACTCAAGATCGTCAAGGCTTACAAGCCGTCGATCCTTTTATTTTGAACTAGGTTATAACCCGTGTACTTCACGGGTGAATATGTAAAACAACTTTAATTAGTTATTGGACATTATAATTAATACTACATTTGCAAAATAGCAATATACTTTTATTAACTTGCAAATTTAAACATTCTATTTTTATGTTTTGTTATTAAATCATTGTAATAAATTTCAATAACACATGAAAAATACATACTTGCATTGGTACTTCCGTTCATCTGTCTCTTAAAGCATGGTAATATACTTCATTTATTCAAAAAAATAAAATTTTCCATCAATACTTTCTTGCATTTAAAATTAGAACCTTGAATCAATACTTTCTTGCATTTTAGTATTTCTTAGGCACAAAAATATCATTTCAAAGTAGAATCCCTAAAATGAACTCTTATCCAATAAAGATTGCATTTTCATGACTTTTTTCATATATAATGCATAAAGCTCAATTCTAATCTCATTTAGGAAGAGAGTTAAATTATATTTTATACATAAAAAAAAACATTAGCGTTAAAACATAAATTATGACAATTAAAAATTGTGGTTCCAAAATTGTAAGTATACACCCACTCATGTGAAAGATCCCATGTTACTTTTTTGAAATAAATTCCATATATATAAAAACAGTTAATGTTGACACTCGAAAAAAGAAAACAACACTATGTAAAAAACTTTAGCTACAAACCGACATAATTTAAAAAAATAATAATAAAAAAAAAACAAAAAAAAAACATACACTTTCACCGCTTCTACACAAAGTTCAAATATTTATTTTATCCATCATACCCTCACACATTCCTTCATTTTAACTTCATCTCATAATCTTCATCTTCTAAATCACACCATATTCATAACTATTAAAAAAATCCAATTCCTAATCTAAAAAAAAAACAAAAATCAATCAATAAAACAAATATGTTGATGAAACAAACAAAATAGCTTTTAAAAAAGAATATAAAAGGTAAAGAAGAAAACTTGGAGTCACATGCTATGATTTCTACCAAATACCATCAGTGAATCATGCTTCCTTTGCATTCGATGCCAAACTACCATTTGTAAGGGTATGGTTTCCAGATTTCATATTTATTAGTTACACCAACTACATCTTCAGCCCTATTGAATTACGATTGAATAAGGACAATGACAATGTTATTTTTCATATAATAAAAAGTTAGTTTTTGGAAGTCGTCTAATTTCCGCCTAGGAAAGTCTTTACACACAACATGGTCCGTTGAGTGGGGAACAAAATTGTGCATGATAACTTATTCTCTCAAAGCCTCCTCTTGCATATGGTGTTTGTGACACATTAGAGGCATCACACTTGAGGTGCTAAAGCTTTCAATGGCCAAGAACTACAAGTCCTTATAAGAGGTAAGTCATCTAACTAGTTGAATTGTTCAAATTGTCATATTGTATGCTAGTTGTAGGCTTAAAGCTTTGGAAACAATATTGCATGTATAATTAGAGAAAACATAGATCCAAATCTTTTAGGATTGTATGTGCACCATAAGATGTTGTAGTATACAAAACCCAAGAGTGGTATCAGAGCCATGGGTTGTTTTCTGTTATATTTTGATGCATGGCTAAGTTTTAAAGTTGAAAAAATCGAGTTTTCTGCACTCTGCTTGATGAACTCACCGAGTCCACTGGGGAAGTCGACAAGTCCATGTAGAAATGAAGCTACTCGACGAGTCCAGTTCATGGACTCGCCGAGTTGGTTGATCAGAGTGCACAAATTCGAGTTTTTGGCCAGAATTGGATAGGATCATTACCACAAACTGTTTTGTAGTCATAAAAATTGTATTTTCTGAATTGGTAATGATAGTTTTTCATCCATTTAAAAGGCAATTGTCAAATGTTTTGATAATAAAGTGATTATTTGTGGTATTTGATATGAATTGTCTTGTTATGAGTTAGTTTAGATCAATAGGAAGAATTATATGATGATTGTGTTTGATCCAAAAATTTGATCTAATTATTCATGTTATGTGTTATTGTAACTTGTCCTCAAGTTATATGAAAAGTCACATTCATGTGTATTAAAACTCATAATTGTTCATAAGTTATGAATGTGAAAGGTCTTGAAAAGTTTCAAAACCTGCCCTCAAGTTTTGGAATTCGTAAAGTCACACTAATGAGCACTTTAATTCCAAACCCTAGAGTTTTAAAAGTTAAAAATCAAACCTTATGGATTTTATTAAATTAATTGAAGTGTTTAATTAAATGAGAATTAATAATTCCATAATGACATGGTTTAAGTTTAATTAAATTGAGAGTATAGTTTAATTAATAGATTAAACCTCTAAATATTTTAAATGTGTAAAATACACCTTTATACTATTATAATATTAAAAGTTAATACTTATATATATGTATAAGAATAAGTCAGTTTTGCCGTTAGTAGGCCTCATTCACGAAGCCAGTCTATAAGGGGGGTATAAGGTTACTGCCTATAAAATGGCAGTTTAATAGGTGTCCACTCTCACCCACTGCTTCCTTGACTGGTGGAGGGTTGTTAGCCGAACGGGTAGGATAGGACATTAATCTTCATTAAAAGTATAATGTAATACAAAGTAACTAAATTTTATTAAATTCCCAATCTTAGTTACTATAGGAAAAATGTGGAAAATGGTGCTACGCCATGAAATTGCACTTAGCACCTTGTTAAGTCGTTAGTGGAGCGTGTGTGGTTAACCGGCACACTAATCTGGGACTGAGAATGCGTGGCTAAGGGTAGCTTGATGTTATAGATCAATAGAGCGTGTGTGGGTAACCAACACATTGATTAGGTAATTTGTAACATTGGGTGTACCGAGCTAATTTGCATGGTTATTCACACCTTCTTTGTGATCCTCGGCATCCCAGTTACAAACTTGAGAGAGGACAATCGAGATTTAAACATGTCACTGAAATGTTCATTGAATCTCAAAGGATCTAGGAATTTCAAATCCAATTAAAACTTAATAATCTATTTCGTTTTTCATGGTGGAAATTGGTAAATCGTCATTTACCTACCTTCAAATATTTTACAATTGGATTACGACATCCCTTTTCGCAATTGTAGAATATTATGTTGGGGTCCTAGCCTTAATATTTCAGTTTGGGTGTTATATTAAGGACTTAAATAAACTAACTTGAATTTCTCCCTCATAGATGTCTAGTTCTGACAACTATGGTCTTCCTTATCCTTTTGGAAAAGGCTTTCCTAATGAAGATGATATCCCACATGGCAATCAAGGTGAAAGATTAATCCCTCTGTCATTCATTAGTGGGATTGGAAATCATACTTCACTTCCTCCACCTCCTCCAATTATTCTCCATAACCCACAAGTTTAAAGATTTGAAAAGTTTAAGGTCACTCAATCCCTATTGGCAAACAAATCCAACATGTTGGGATAGTTGGGTGTCGAAGTCTTGAGGAAGATGGCTGTTGACTGGGTTCTTCAGTTACTCCCTGAGTCATATAGTGAGTTTTAAAGGACTACTACATGACAGACCACGCCATGACCCTTATTGATCTGACTTATTTGTTTGTTGTTGCTGAATCGAAAATGATTTGGCACACTGGTAAAGCAAAGTTTATTGGAAGATCTACTTCCCGAAGCGATTTGTTTCTATTGCCATTTGAAGGGACATTAGAAGCGAAGCTGCCCTGACTACCTGAGAGATCTACGAGATGGTAAAGGCAAAATGCTTGACTCTACTTCAGATAAGTTCACTATCTAACTCTATTAAGTTCCTAATGATTGATTCTTAATACATGGATGTGAAAAAGGTTGCATTTTGATGTTTTGTAGAATCAAAGGAAGCTTAAAGGAAGAGTATGCTGAGTCTAATCGCAAAGAAATGAATTTCGATTGCATGGTTCGGTGATCAGATTTATGAGCTGCTGCTTAAAGAGTTATGATAAATTGCTTAGGAATAGATAACAACATAGTTTTCACTTGTATTTGCATTGTAAGGACAATTTTTCCGCAGTTTTATAAATAAAGAAAAAAAATGTTGTTTTTGTCTTATTTTAAAAGTATCCTTACAATGGCATTTGTGAAAAATTGTTGCTTATGTGTTTCCGTTGATGGCAATATTGGAAAGTGGATTTGATTCTCTCGTTTATGGTAATGTCAAATTTACCAAATAAGGAAAGATTCTCATCACCCAAGTTTCAATTGGATAGAAACTTGGAATCATGCAACTTGTATTGTATGATGAATGAGAATTTTCATCTTTGGAAAATTAAGACTAATTCCTTGTTCACATGAAGATGTGAGTCAAGTGAAGGACTGGGAGAGCTGGTGCACTTGGTTGTGTGCTGGTTAGGTCCACCACAAAGATCGATAAGACTATTCGTCATGATTTACTAAAGTTTAGTAAATATGGTTATACTTACAAGTTTAAGTATAATTCTGAAT